TTTCCCTCCAGTCTGCCCTAATGCCGCAATTCAGGAACACCAATCGGTTTAAGGTCAGGAATAAAGTCAATACAAAACTCAATGACCTCCTCATTGTGATGGCCCTTGGAGATGCTTCCTTCTGGCCTAGCACGGTTATGAACATATTTCTTTAAGACTCCCATGAACCTCTCAAAGGGGAACATATTGTGTATAAATACAGGACCCAAAACATTAATCTCTTTGCATAGGTGAACTAGGACGTGCGTCATGATGTTGAAGAAGGATGGTGGGAACACCAACTCGAAACTGACAAGACATTGCACCAAATCATTCTCTAACCTTGGTATGATTTCTGGATCGATTACCTTCTGAGAGATTGCATTGAGGAATGCACATAACTTCACAATGGCTAATCGAACGTTATCCGGTAGAAGCCCCCTCAATGCAACTGGAAGCAGTTGCGTCATAATCACGTGGCAGTCATGAGACTTTAGGTTCTAGAACTTTTTCTCTGCCATGTTTATTATTCCCTTTATATTCGACGAGAAGCCAGACAGTACCTTAATACTGAGCAAGCATTCAAAGAAGATTTCCTTCTCTTCTTTGGTAAGAGCATAACTGACATGACCTTGATGTATGCCGTTTTTTCCGTGCATACGTTGCTGGTCCTCCCGTGCCTCAGGTGTATCTTTTATCTTCCCATACACGCCCAAGAAGCCAAGCAGGGTCACACAAAGATTCTTCATCACATGCATCACATCGATTGCGGAGCGGAGCTCTAGGTCTTTCCAATAGGGCAGGTCCCAAAATATAGATTTCTTCTTCCACATGGGTGCACGCCCGTCAGCATCATTCGGAACAGGTTATCCGCCAGGACCCTTTCCAAAGACTACCTTCAACATAGCCATTGCTCGCAACTCAGCCTCTGTACTCGAGAGAGAAACTGCAGTCTGTTTCTTTGTCTTTCAGGCAATAAGAGAGCCACCAAGAAAGACACAGTAAGCAGACAGCGAGCATTGATCAGAGGGATCACTGGCTCAGGTAGCATTAGAGTAGGCCTGTAGCTCGAGAGAGCTGGAGCAGGGAAAGAAAGGCCAGTGAGAGATCGTGCCATGAAGATATCGTAGAACACAGAGGAGATGACTATAATGGACAGAGGTGGGGGCTGAAACAAACTGGCTGAGGATGTGGACGGGATCGAAGCGGCGGTGGCCAGACGGGGAAGAAGGGGCGGTCGTCATGCTGTCGGGTTCTTCGCCTACTTCGAGCATCGCCACCGCGCTTAATCTAGTTGCCGCCGCTACCGCCGCTCTTCTTCAACCGATATCTCTGCTAACCCCGTAGAAGATGATGACACTCGAAAATGATGGGCCTCCTTCTATGCGTCCGGTCAGGTCACTATAACTGTTGAGATTTATAAGAAAATATTTAGAGGGACATACACAATTTGTGAATCATGGAATACATCCTCACCAATATAGTGATTGGGATCCCGGTGCAAATGAGTCGGGGAGATTCCAGTGAAGGTGGTTGACTGTGTCCTGGACTAGGGGTACCAACCTAGGTGGCCACATCCCATGGGCCGAGCTTACGACCCACTGTTCTTACAAGGACTGTGGAAGCCTCACATTCCGAGGCGGTCAAGGAGGACTCTGCCGAAGATTTGACGTGCACTCCAAGTATTACTTCCGCAGCCGCTATGTGTATCTCTAGATTGGCAACTAACCATGTGTAACCCTACGTATCCCCAGTATCTACATAAGGGCAATGTACAATGGTTCTATCTTAGCAATGCCACGTAGGATAGAAAATGAGGTGGAGGAGAGAGAACTCATAAGAAAAGTCTTGTCTTCTCTTATAAGAGAAGACAAGAGGTGATCTCTTAGCACAATATGTCTCACCACATTTTTAGGAATTACTAGTTATTGAAGATAAGGCTAAGATATGACCCATTGTAGACAATTTTTTTTGTCATCTCTAAATCACATGCAAGACTTAAGATAAGACTATCTTATCAACCATTGTACATGCTCTAAGCCGAGGGGTTTAACCCGTAAAGGGGATGGTCACAAGTACAACCACCTAGCCTTAGGGTTAGAAGACACCTCATGATCTCGAGGTAGATCAAGCATGTAATCGATACATCATCATTAATATAATGAAAGCAGGACATAGGTTATTACCTCTTCTAGGGGGCCCGAACCTGGGTAAACCTTGTCTCTTTCGTCTCCTGTTACCCATAGATCCGAGATACACAGTTCGGGACCCCGTATGCGCGTTCCACCAGTTTTAGCACCAACATTGCTTCTTTAACTGAGAGTTCCGTTGTGTGATCGAAAGGAGGATCGATGGGATCGTCGGTCAACGACTTAGATTTTCATGGCATTGCTTCCACGCTCGAGCTTCCGATCATCGTATCACGCCTCCTCCATCAAGCGCCAGGCCATGATGAGCGAGTAGTGAGCCAGGAGCCCTTCGGCTCTTCACCCCCTACGGCCTGAAAGCCTCCTATGGAGGACTAGGGGCCGAAGTATTACCCAGAGAGCGATCTCGATGGCAGCCAAACGGAAGACGCCAAGGAATCTAATCTCATGATTAATTCGGCCGATTCGTCCTCAACACACCCTTCTCGGGATAGCGGCGTAGGAGCTTCGAGCCAAACGGAAGACGCCAAGGATTCTTTCTCCCACCCACCTCCCACATCGGGTATTGCCCGAGTAACTCGAGGCCACCTGATGTATGGGATCTAGCCTACGTACAATAACAGTCTGACGAAACAGTCAACCAATTCTGGGCCAGGTTCCTGTTCGTCAAGAACAAGATACCGGACTGCTGTGATGGAGATATAATAGCAACTTTTCGGCATAACTGCAAAGACAAAGGTGTTTTAAACGCCCTTGCCCGGCGCTGTGTCCAAACGTTCTCCGAATTATCGGATCTGGTGTCAAAATTTTGCGCCATAGAGGACGCCTGACTGTCTCAAAAAGAGCAGGCAGATTCAATCTGCGCCAGGACAATGAAGCGTGACAGGCCTGCGCACCGGCAGCAGCACTCGGGCTGGCTCTTATCAGTCAACCAACCTCGGAAAAAGAATAGACCCGCCACAGGATCCAAAATTGCCCTTGACGGTCTACTGAACAAGCCATGCCCAATACACACCGTTCTACTCCGCCCGTAAACTAATATAAGAGCGTTTAGATCACTACAACACCAGCCCAACCCATAGTCTCCGAGATTGCTGGGTGAGCAAAATACAAACTTAAAAAACAAGCGGGACAATTACATCTAATACATGTATGTGTATACACGAAACAGCCTGAATCATCGTCAACAGTTACTAGCCCTAGTCTTTCGTTGTGTGTTGGGGCATGTAGTTTGCTGGCTAGTGTGAAGTGTCAACTGATAGAGAGAGAGAGAGAGATGCCGAAGTAAGAAGAATATTCTTGTGCGTGTCTGACGGTCTGGTTGGTTGGTCTGTACAAGGTGCACATCCAAGATCCAACCACGACCACATGCCGACCTCATCTCGCACCACGACTCCAGCCGGCCGGCCAGCCTACGGAGGACATCGACATTGATCGACCGGGACGCGCTTGTCATCGTCGTCGCCCGTGCACATCCACAAGAGTGTACGAATTACCGTGTCTATTTTGTTTTTGTGCTGCGCACGTTCTCCGCTATCTTTGCGCGTTTGTTCTCACGTCCCATTCTTATCAAAGACGAGACGACCCGGGCCGAAAGCGCGGTGATGGCGTGTTTGCACCACGCACCATCCACGACCAAGAGGCTGATGGCATGGCGACTCCGGTTCGTCATCGGACGTACAGAGAATAAATTGAATTATATATGATTTTTTATGTTGCGATGTGGCCTATTTTTTTTTGAAAATTTGTCATAGATTAATAAATAAAATTATCTTATTTAATTTGAAACTAGCTCGAGATTGACTCCAAATCATCACAAGCTGAGCACGAGCCATTTTCTACAGCTCGATTTTGAGCGAGCTCGAATTATAGTATAAGTAGAGCTGAGTCTAATCCAACTCACTGACACTCGAATCGTTTGCAACCCTACATGTCAAACTTTCCCTACGACTTGCCATGATACCATGTGTTTCATGAGTGGTCAATTTTTGGTAGTCGGATGACATGTGTTAAGCTAAGTACGTACGTTGCATTAGACTAATACGGATTTGAGTATTCCGTATGGTGGATCCAGTTGCGGAGGACAAAATTTGTGTGTTGTTCGGTCACTGCCCGCAGGCGTTTGAGGGCCGGAATTTGGTACTTGTGATTGTAGATGCTCTTAGACTACTCATAGTGGGAGTAATATAAGTAGTAACATGCATGCCACATAAGCAAAATAGTGATGTGTGGCAAGTAATTAACAAGGAGAAAGATGAATAGAGTAACATATTGTGTTACCACACATAGCATTAACAAAAACCAAATGAGTCTACAATGTGATTGTAAATGAAGGTCTCTATATTATCATACAAACTATGAAGGTAGTAACATATGCATGTTGCTACTCTAACTTACTCTCCACTGTAACTAGCCTTACATAATTTATTTCAACAACTGTCCTTTTAATGCCCTATTATAGCATATCTTTATTCGTAGAGAAAAATTATAGTACATATTTGAAGATGCTCTAAGACACGAATAAAAATGCAAAAGACAGAAAAACTAAAAACTTGTAACCACACAAGCTTTAAAAGCATCTACATGCGCGAACAAACATGTGGTTGCATGGTTAAGAGCACGGTGGTATTCCCTAACAGGGTTCAAATCCTGGTGCTCGCATTTATCTTCAATTTATTTCAAGGATAGGGTGTGCGTGTGTGCGTCGATAGGAGTGAGTGTTTGCGCGTATATATATATGAAAAAAGCATCTACATCCATGATTTTTGCCTATTTACTTGTCATCCCGTCTATATATTAAGGGAGGGAGGATGTGCAGCCCAAGTTAGACGATTCCTTGCATCCTGCCAGACACGATAGAGGGAGTAGAGCAGCATGAGCACCCCAAATTCCCAATTCCATTCCCACCCACTACTGCGGCTGTGGTTGCCAGTAATCCAACTAGTCATCTTGGCCGCCGCGGCTGAGCAGCAGCAAGGTTGCCGTGACAAGTGCGGCCACGTCAGCATCCCCTTCCCTTTCGGCATCGGCCGCGGCTGCTTCCGCCATGGCTTCGAGGTCGTGTGCAACGACTCCTCGTATCCCCCTCGCGCCTTCCTTGCTGGCAAAAGAATATCCAGGTTGTCGTCGTCCCCACTAGATCCCGAGAACGGGAGCGATTGGTCCTTCTCGTCGATCGAGCTTGTGAGCATATCAGTCGCCACGGGCAAGGCACGGGTGTACGCCCCGGTCTCGTACCTCTGCAGCACAAATCTCAACAGGACCTTCTCCGCGATCTACAATATTCACTTGGCCCACACGCCGTTCGCCGTGTCGGCGACGCGCAATATTCTCGTCGGCGTCGGCTGGAGAGTCGATGCTTTCGTGACTTTCATCGACTTTCCGCTGAGGTGGCCGTATACGGTTATGTTCGCCTGCAGTGCTCGTGCACGCAATCTCCTGCCAAGTGTGACCCCAACAAACGGGTCGTGCACGGGGAGGGGCTGCTGCCACACCACCATCCCACCGGACAACAACCTCGGCAACTTGTTAAGCTTTTCTGTCAAGGGCGAGGTCCCCAACGAGCGGTGGGAAGACTACCCGTGCTCCTACGCCATGCTGGTGGACAAGTCATGGTACAACTTCTCTACGCCAGACATGGAGGGCAACAGGACGCTACTCAAAAGGTTCCCCCGGGGCGTCCACATCGCGCTCGATTTCGCCGCCGGGAACACTTCGTGTCCGGCCAAGGGACAGCCACCCCCTCCGGACTACGCCTGCATCAGCGGCAACAGCTCTTGCGCCAACTCAACACATACTCCAGGCTATATCTGCAAGTGCTGGGACCATTACGCTGGCAACCCTTACATCACTCACGGATGCCAAGGTACATACATGCATGCATGCATACATACATGGTACATATATATACATCATTGCTGAACTCATTGGTTAACTCCCGGAAGTGTTGATTCTTCAGATATTGATGAATGCAAGCTCCCGCATGTGTATCCCTGCTCAAATGGCGGGATCTGCAAAAACAGGCTCGGAGGCTATGACTGTCCATGCAAGTTCGGGATGAAAGGCGACGGCAAAGCGGGAACCTGCTCAGATATATTCACTCCAGCGGCCAAGGCGGCTGTGGGTAAGTACTAAGCTACTACTGCACTCCACTGTATGTGCGTGTACATGCATGTAACTATGTATGCATCAGTACACAGCACCCCGGGTGAGAATCTTTTCTATTAGAATCAAAACCCTTCGGGTGTGCCACATCACCAAAAACGTTGATCTGAAGTCCAAACTATAAACCAAAATTTGTGTCACCTAGATCATTCACCTTCAGTTATGGTTTTCAACAAGGAGCTTGATTCCATATGCAAATAGAAACATGTATTGGATAGGTGCACTGCGTGTACATCACTTGATGGATACTGCTTAATTTCTACAAATAACCTGACTGCAATGTATGAGCTACTCCTGCCTTGCCAAATTATAGAGCACATAATTTTTTCTCCAACGTCGAACTTTGTAAATTTTCACCAAGTTTATAGACAAAAATTCCAAAAAAAAATAACATCTACAATACCAAATATATATTATATGAAAATATAATTTGTGATGAATCCGTATTAATACAGCATATAGATGTTGATATTTTTTCTGTAAGCTTCGTCAAAATTTACAAAATCTTACAGTTTATATGCACTGTAATTTCGCAAAGACGGAGTACATGCTTCCATCATCTTCTGCACACTTCCCTCCGAGTTTCAACCCCTTCCATTCTTGATTTAGATCCATTTTTCTTCTGAAATTCTAGTGGAAACTTGTTTTAGATTCTTAGTAGATCAACTAATGAAACGTTTTACTTATTATGTTAAACATACCTGATAGATTTGTAAATGTGAACTTAGTGATATGTACTAATGAAGTTTGTTTCTTGTCCATCAAGGTGCCATTGGCGGTATTCTTCTGATGGCTGTTTTATCATTTCTTCTTATTCTTCACAAAGAGAAAAAGAAGACGGAAGAATTCTACAAAAAGAATGGTGGCCCTACATTAGAGAAGGCAGATGTCATTAAACTTTTCAAAAAGGGGGAGCTCAAGCCAATTTTGAGGAGTAGTAACTTAATTGGAAAAGGTTACTTTGGTGAAGTTTACAAGGGCCTTCTTGACAATAAATTAGTTGCAATAAAGAAGCCGATTAATGGTAGTGTGCTAGAGAGTGAACAATTTGCAAATGAAGTCATCATCCAATCTAGAGTCATTCACAAGAACATTGTCAGGCTCATTGGTTGTTGCCTTGAAGTTGATGCCCCTATGCTGGTCTACGAGTTTATCTCTCAAGGTAGCCTCCTTGACATCCTTCACAACAGTAATAACAAGGTGGCCCTCAACTTGGATACACGTTTAAGTATTGCAGCACAATCAGCGGACGGTCTAGCTTATATGCACTCAAAAACAAATAGTACAATTCTACATGGTGATGTTAAACCAGCAAATATACTCCTGGATGATAACTTTGTTCCCAAGATTTCAGACTTCGGCATATCTAAGTTGATTCAGAGAGACAAGCAACACACTGGACAAGTCATCGGCGACATGAATTATATGGATCCAGTATATCTACAAGAAGGCCGACTCACTGAAAAAAGTGATGTCTATAGTTTCGGAATTGTGATCCTAGAGCTTATTAGTAGGAGGAGGGCCATACATTCTGAGAATAATAGCTTGGTAAAAGGCTTTCTTGAAGCACATAAGAAACAGAAGAAAACGACTGAGTTTTATGACAAGGAAATTGCAATAACAAAAGATTTGGAGCTTCTTGATAGTCTGGCAGATATAGTCGTGGAATGCCTTAGCCTTGATGTAGACCAAAGACCAACGATGATGGAGGTAGCGGAGCAACTGCTCGTACTAGGCCGGTCTCGTAAAGCGTAGGGTGTTTTTCACCAAGTTAGTTTTTACAAAATCCTACAAAAAGGGGAAGCTGAGGCAATATTTGTAACAATGTTTTTAAGGTGTTGAATGTTTGTACGCTCCATTTGCCACTGTGTTTCGAAGCACTATAATTTGACCAAATTTTTAACCATATTACACATAATACATCCTTTTGCTTGCACCTGTAGTGTTGTTCGATGAGATTTTTTTTTTTGCACTACGAATTGTACCAAAATAAGGAGGAAGGATAGTGCAAAAATAAAAGTTGTGTAAATTGTGACTTAGACTAATAATACTTAGTTGTGATTTTTTTTTCAAAAGTATGACGTATTTTGTAGCAATTTCGGAAACTATAGCGCATAATGAAAAAAATGCAAAACTATGACCCTGTCGGCCACGTGCAGGCCGAAAAGGTAGTTTTCGGCCAATTGTTGGCCGAAGTAGGGTTTTCGGCCTTGCCATGGCCGAAAAGTGGTTGAGCTGGCCGAAATGGCTGTTTTCGGCTGCTGTTTGGCCGAAAAGGTCTTTTTGGTCAAATGTAGGCCGAAATGTACTTTTTGGTCTACACTAGGCCGAAAAGTACTTTTTGGTCTAGTGTAGGCCGAAAAGTCCCTTGGGCCCACCTTTCCGTTATCTGTTGGCCAATGCATTTTCCCACCAACTTCTTAGGTTGCATGAAAGATGGAAGAAGGTGGTGGTGCCGAAAAGTGAAACTTTCAGAAGGCTTTCAGCAAATAATCCATCTTTATGGATTGAGGAGAGCCAGGACGAAGATGATATCTTCATGCCCCGCTTCCGGGTTCTGCATCGTCGAAGGGCAAGAGTTCTTCATCGTCCAAGGGCAAGAGTTCTCCATCCTCGAAGGGCAATAGTTCTGCATCGACGGATGGCAAAAGGACCACATCGTCGAAGGGCAAGAGGGCTGCATCAACGAAGGGGTTGGCGGGAAAATACATTGGCCAACAATTAACGGAAAAAGGTGGCCCAAGGGACTTTTCGGCCTAAACTTGACCAAAAAGTACTTTTCGGCCTACGATTGACCAACAAGTACTTTTCGGCCTACACTAGGCCAAAAAGTCCTTTTCGGCCAAAGGGTGGCCGAAAACACCCCTCTTCGGCCAGCTTTGCATCTTTTCGGCCAAGGCATGGCCGAAAACCCTATTTCGGCCTAGAGGTGGCCGAAAACACCCTTTTCGGCCAACACCTGGCCGACAGGGTGCTAGACTTGATATTTCTCCAAAGCATGCTGTAGTTTCCGAATTTTCTTCAAATAACAAGATAGTTTTGAAAAAAAAAACCTTAGTTGTACACATGAAGCAAGAAGTGCCTACGTGTACGCGCCTATATTGCATGTGTAGGCGTATGAACTACTACTAGCCAATGTGTTAATGGGCTAATGGCTGGCAAATTAGAATTAGCCCAGTGCATGCATGCACCTACGTCGAGCCCATACAAATATGTACTCGAGTATTTACGGCCAGCCGGCAAGCGCGCGTATACATATCCGAATACCTGATATGTTTCCCGCAAAAAAAAAGAATACCCGATATGTCTAGCTAACCATGCACACATATTCCACGTGGGTGGGGGTGTGGGGCAGATCTAGAGTTTGATAGCATGTCCGGGGTGTTGCCCTAGTCTGATTCGTTCAACGGTAATGCTTTCGTCTTTGGTGAACCGCCTTGGATATCAGTAAAGCTGGATATCAGTGATGGAGCCGCTTCGAGCTCGGTATGGAGGTGATCCGTCATTTTTTCTTATGATTGCTGCTGTGATGGTGCCGGAGACACAGATGACGGGCGTTGGTGTCAACTCAAAGTATTTTTCTATCTCATTTGTAATTTTACTTCCTGGCTGGTGTTCCTTTGTGTAAAGGATAGCGTTTTACTATCTTTTCAGTTTTGCCAGATCGGTATGTATATGGCTTGTACTATGATCTTTATTTGTACCATGCAAAAAAAAAAAAATTGGAAGGCGCCGCGTAAGAGAGTATGTATCAGGTTTGTTTCCTTTTCTTGTACTGGCTTGCACGCCAAGAAGAAAATCCATCGGATGCGTTGACAAAATATAAGGAAACTTTAAAGTGAGCAAGTTTCGGCTGAGACGACTCGGCGATACTCGTCGGGTTGGCTGCTCCCGATGCCCCATCTTTTGCCTATAAACATAGGTGCATACATGAGGGGAGGGGGACAGAGGAGACGCGCCAAGGCGGCAGCGTCGAGCAAGAGACATCCAGCCAGCCCACAAGCATATCTCACGCACCAAGGTACGCTGCAGAGGAGAGGAGAAAACACGCTGAAGAAACGCGCTCGTGGCGGCAGCGTCGTGGAGATCAGATGAACGGCGAATGCGCCGGCCGTGGAAATATGTGCGGTCACTCCCCGCATGTAACCATACAATAATCTTTTTCTTCTATGTGTTTTCATCTACTTATTTTGCATGATACCTAAGGACATCCCTGAAGAACAACAAAACCACGCAGCCGACCCACGCAGAGTGGAGAGCAGAAGACATGCATCCGGCGTCATCGCATCTAGCAGCCGAGCAAGAAGGACCAAGCCATCCCTCTCCCTCTCGCGTCGCCCCCCTCGCGGGCAACACGTGGGGCCAGCCTCTGCTGCCGCCAGCGACCCTTCCCACGCCCCGTCCTCCCCTCCGCCGCCGCAGGTAGTCGGCACCGGGCAAAGCCCGTGTGTGCGACGCGGTGGCGGAGGGCCTCTCCCCTCTCCCCCGGATCCATGGGTGGCGCGGGCAACCAGATCCGCGGAGGTGCGGCCACCACATCGGCCCACGGCGGCGGGGCGTCCCAACGGCGGCGACTGTGGTGGTGCCGGTGGGAATCGGCCGGATGCACAGGGGGCAGCGGTGGCCAGGGCGGCGGCCCCATGGCTGGGTGGCGGAGCGCCCCTTGTTCCGACCGGTTCCGGCTCGTCCCGGATCTGGTGACCACCGAACGGCGTGGGGGGTGGCGGTGGCCCGGCGTGGCCGGTGATCTGGACACGGTCGTGCCGGCGGCTCGCTGGTCTGCCGGAGATCCAGGAGTATCATCTTCTCCGACTCGATCTGCTCCGGTTCGTGCTAGCTCTGGTACAGGGAGACTGTCGTCATCTCCCGGTGCTGACTGCATGGATCTGGCGGCGGTGGCTGGATCCTTTTGATCTAGTCTCTGACAGAGAAGGCGGCGGTCCGTGCACAAGAACTTGGACGGAGTTCTTCGAACAAATCTGGGTGAAAACCTGCTCTTGGCTAGATGCCAAAGTCGGCAATGGCGGCGTTCACGACGTCGTTCCCTTCTTGAAGGCATCGCAGTGGAGAAGTTCTAGACTACTATCTGCTACCTCCGGGGGAAACCCTATATGGACAGATCAGAAGACGGCGGCGCGTTTGTGTCGTTTCCCCCTTGGGGGCGTCTTTCTTGGAGGTGTACGCTGGCTCGGGGGACCAGTGGACGACGTCTTTGGTGGAGCGGTGCTTCATCATACACATGGATGGTGACAGATCTCGATGGCATGGCGCCGTGGAGATTAGGAGTCTGATGTGCGATGATGGACTCGCGCAGGAGGCAGACGCTGTTGGCGTTGTGGTGGCGTCGGCGGCAGCTAGACCGGGAAAGGTCGATGCAGCAGTACATCTCTGAAGATGGATTGGTGGCAAGTGGCTGCGGCGGTCTCATACACGGCAGGCGTCCTGGTTGAGGAGCACGCTGGACTGGTGGGTTCCCATACCCGGCAGACGTCCTGCTTGGGACCTCAGGTATTAGATGTTAGGTCTGGCTGCGATGTCTGTTTGGTATTAGGCTCAGGCTATCAGTGCCCCTTCATCAATTGGATAGGTGTAGCGACAGTTGTTGCTTAGACGGTGGCTTTAGTCTTACTGTTATATGACTTTGTAAGGTCTTGTGAGAATAATTAATAAAGTGGCCGTATGCATCGTCCAGATGCAGAGGCCGGAGGTCCTCCTCCTTTTTTAAAAAAAAAGGACCAAGCCGAGAGGCGCCATGGAGATGAAGCTCATGTTCTCGAAAGAGATGACGTGGGCGGAGCATGTGACCTCGCAGCTTGCCGCCACCGTCCTCAAGGCCATCGTTCAAGACGAGCACACCAGTGGTGCTGCTGGCGTGCTGCCCCGCCAGACTCCTTTTTGGTGTCTGCTCTTGGACACGACGACATTGGCCCTCCACCAAGCGGGTGCCGTGAAGGACATGGTGTTGAGGCCGCCACGACATCGTTGATGTCTACTTCGGCAAGCTGGTGCCGGGGTATGGAGGGGTGGAGCTCGCCAGAGACGCGAAAGCCATGCCAGGGAGTATGGACTCGCAGAGCTCCTCAAGACGACGCACATTGCAACATTATCAACCCGGTGCCGTGGAGGATCGTGGCGTGGAGCTCGCCAGAAGGACGCCCGCCGTCTATTTCATCCTTTTGGAGCTGGAGGACAGAGGAGTGGCTCTCGATTGGAATGCCACCGACGTCTACTTCGTCAAACTAGAGCCCGGAGGCGTTGAGCTCGCGAGGATGCCATCGCCGTGCTGCGGGGGATGGCGCCACAGAGGTCGCGAGGACGGCGCACATCATCAATATCGTGAAGACAGTGTTAGAGTAAACCTTGTTGTCTAGAAATTCATCATGTTTATTTCATCGCATTAGTTCGTTCATGCATGTAGTTAAGTTGAAGGCTTGAGGCTGTGGCAGTGAGCGTGCTCGTAGAAGTGTGGAGGCGAGTACACATGCAAGCTGAATAGTGCCTAGTTAGTTAGTTGAGTTAGCATTAGCTGATCAGTACCATGCACGTCGTGTAGTTTGCATGGATGTAGTTGTTAGCAACATGCGCGTACAGCTCCGTGGAGTCAGAGCGGCCGAATGCGACGACAGATCAGCGTGGAGCTAGAAGCGGATACAATCAGTTGAGGCGTGCGTCAAGTGTGCCGTTGTGGGCAAGCTCAAGAATGCTGCAAACTTGGATTTGACTCAAGCCTATACATGCAGGAATAATCGGATCAA